GGTCGATTCCCGGAGCTGGACGGGGCCCCCGGCCCCACCGGCAGCCCCGGCGAGAGCCGCTGCCAGCCCCTGCCTGCTCCCCCCCGCTGCACGTCCCGGCCCCCCCGGCCCTGGAGCTGAGCCCCCACATGCCTCCTCCCCGCCGGTGCCTCCGGAGGGGCTGCAGCCAGCGCCGGCGTGGCTGTGCCTCCTTGGCCACCATCGGGTTGGGGCTGAGCTGCCTTTCCTCCCCCCCTGGCACACATGGCTACCGTGGGGACAGGGCTGGTGGCCAGTGCTCAGCTCCCAGGCTTGGTCAGTGCCGCCGGTGGCCCAGGTGATGCCACGGGTGTCTTGTGCCGGGTGCCTGGCGCTGGCCAGAGGGCCTGGCAGTGAATTGAAGTCCTCGCCATGAGCTGGGGGGGTTTTCCTGCCGGGCTGCCTTGGCCCCGTGGCCATGCTGCCCACGCTGCCTGCCCTCTGGGCTGCCATCACTCGTCCTTGTGGGCTGGGGCTGGTCGGCCGGAGAGCCCCACTCCCACCCGGGCAGGGGGGAGCCACCATCAATCATCTCCAGAGGGGCAGGAGTCACGGAGCCAAGTGATTTCCTACTGTGGGGAACGGTGGAGCGATGCCTGGAAGTGCCGGGATGTGCCGGGCTCCAGGTTCAGCCTGCCAGGGACGCTGCCACACACGCTGTGGCTCATGCCATGCCACACCGTGGCCACTGCCAGGCTGTGCTGGGGGTGGAGGTGATGCCGAGGGACGGGTGCTGCCCTCTCCACCACTGTCCCGGTGTAACGGCAGGGTTGGCCTGTTGGGCCCGTGCTCCGGGGGGTGCGATGGCGACCGCTCACACACACATGTGGCGTCCAAAGCAGCCCGAGCCCGGGGCAAACCCTCGATGCCCCTGTTGGGACGCACTCGGCGGGCACCGGCTGCCCCAAACGGGTGGGCTGGGACTGGCCGGAGAGGGGCTGGCAGGGGGATGGCCAGCACGGTGCGAGGTTTGGCTACCACTGGGCTGGTGGCTCCCCGTGGGGCACCGGCTGGGGACGGAGCCCCCGGGCGAGCGGTGGTCGGTGGCCCCAGTCCCGGGGATGTCCCGAGAGCCGCGGGCACCGGGGGAGCGTCCGTCCGGCAACCGGGACGAGCCGTGCCCCGTGTCCCGTGGCCGTGCAGGCCGGTGGAGCGACCGGAGCCCGTCGGAGGCTGCCGGTCCCCGGGGCTGCGGGAGCGGAGCGGAGCTGGCGGGCGGTGCGGTGCCGGCCGGTCCCCCCGTCCCCAACCTGCCGGGGCTGCTGGGGTGACCCCTCCCTCCGCCGGCAACAACTTTTCCAGTAAAACCACCGCAGAAATCCCGGCTTCCCGACAGGACCGCCCCTCGGCCGCCGGGGGGGCGCGGGCCGCCCTTAACCCTTCCCGCCCCGGCCCCGCCGCCGCCGCCGCCCCGGCCCCCGCACTGCCCCGGCCAC